AGGCCGTCCCCCTCTCGGTCCGGGGCGTCTGGGAGGGCCTCAGAGCTGGCCCGGTCTCTCCTCCCCGCCCTCCCCGGCTTCTCCTCCCCACCTGCTGCCCCCGGGGAGGAGGCTGGGCTCACAGTGTCCAGCGTTGCAGTGTCCGTGCTTAAGGCCGTGATGCAGACTTCTGTTTTCGCGTTTTCCTCTTGATTCCTGCTGTTTCCGCAGGTGCTTCCAAAAACCTCACACAGAGAGGCGTGGTGCTGCGAGTGGGCTGCGAGCATGCCTTGGAAATCCACTCTCCCAAGCACGATAGGCCTGTCCAGACTGCACTGGAAACTCTCCGAAACGTGGGATCTGTGGTCCACATTGGAGACGCCCTGGGCCTGCAGGAGGCCCTTCACCAGGCTGACCCCTGACAGCACTTCCAGGGACAGGGCATCTCTGTCCTGACTTCCTGAGGAGGAGCCGAACCTGTACAGCGCCCCCAGGGCCTGCAGACAGAGCCGGCTGGCCGTGCGCGTGGCCTCCGTGTCCCCGTGGAGTCTCCGGTGCACGGTGGTGAGGCTGAAGGCCGCCTTGAGCAGGCTGTGGAGCTCCTGCTTTCCCACGTGCGCCTTGTCGTCCTTCTTGGTCAGGAGGCCGATCTCGAAGGCCTCCTTGGCCTCACACAGATACGAGCTCTTCCGGTCTGGAGGGCAGTCCCTGGAGCTGCTGTAGGACAGCAAGCATGTACCACGGATGTTCTGGGAAGTAGCAAAAGCGACACCAGACACTGAATTGGATCGGAGCCAAGCCAGGACGTAGTTTCCATTCTTAGATGATAATCTTTAAAAAAAATTTTTTTTGGGGTGTACTGGGGATTGAACTCAGGACCTTGTGCTTGCCAGGCAGGAACAGTGCCGCTGAGCCTTGGCCCAGTCACTTAAAATATTATAGGAAAGGGCCGGGGATTTAGCTCAGTGGTTCCACCGCCTGCCTCGAAAGCAAAAGGACCCGAGTTTGATCCTCAGTACAAAAAAAAAAAAAAAAAAAA